TCCCTCCGCAGACCCAGAGGTTCCAAACGATCCGTGAGAATTCGAAATGTTGTTGAAGGTTGTATTTTAAAATATATAAATTAATAAATAAAAAATTAGTATACTTATTAATGATTTTCTTCTAGCTGTGACTGGTTCAGGTACTACAAAAATGTAAATATGTAAATACAAAAAAAAAAAATTTACATCTTCATGGAATCTTTAAGTAAAGTCACGTTTTCATTATTTCCCGTTACCGACAGGAGAACTCTCGTGACCGTCCTCGTAAATATCGGATCCCTTCTATTGTCGACCGACGATTTTTACCTGTCAAATGTCACCGCGTCCCGGATTAACCGGCCCCGTGAATACATCCCATTCAACCCGGGAACGAGAAATATGTATTTACGATTTTACACCGGCGTGTTTTTTGTTGTTGTTGAGAATGCCCATATAATACTATGGTAGAGAGGGTTGTTGGACTTGAAGTAAAAAGGGTTAAATACAATATATTGTGAGTGGTAGGATATAATATAAGTACATATTATCATGTATTATATCAAGCTTAGTTTCAACTTTTTTTTTATTGCTTAGATGGGTGGACGAGCTCACAGCCCACCTGGTGTTAAGTGGTTACCGGAGCCGTAAATGCCGTTAACAACCTTGAGTTCTAAGGTCTCGGTATAGTTACAACGGTTGCCCCACCCTTCAAACCGAAACGCATTACTGCTTCACGGCAGAAATAGGCAGGGTGGTGGTACCTAACCTTGCGGACTCAGAAGAGGTCCTAACACCAGTAAGCCACCGCTCAATTGTTTCCGATGCGAGGCTTAGATAAGAAATTGTAATATGAATAAGGTTTTTTTTTTCCTAATCTGATCGTTTTGGGAGACCATATCAGCGTCAGTTCAGCAGTAAGTGAGCTCACGGGGCTCAAACCTGACGACGTTGCTAACACGAACCCTAGCAAGAGCCGTGCTTCGCAGAATCTACCATTGGATCGGAAACGCGACCCACTGAGAAGAGCCGGCGAGAAACTCAGTGGGCTGTGTCTGTGGGTTAATTTACTCGCCGAGCCCTTTGTCGCAAGCGGCGGGTTTGACGAGAACTATGACCGGTGTTTAGGGTACCTAAAAGCACCGTTAGTGGATCGGGAGGATCCGAAATGACGTGAAGAGATCACACTAACGCCCATTGCCGGTTCTAGATCGATAATTAATTAAAAAATTCAATGGAATTTGTTTCTGTTAATGTTCACGCGCCTTCTTGTTAATGTTGGAAGAGCGAGCGAACTGAAAGTGTCTGAGCAAACAGCGCCCGGGCGGATGGCGCGACAATACCCCGCAGTAGATCAGTTGCTTTGCGTCAGGGCTACCGACAGTCTAATATCAGGTAATATTAGATTACTTCTAGTCCGTTAGTAAACTATTTTTTTTTTTACTTAGATGGGTGGACGAGCTCACAGCCCACCTGGCGCTAAGTGGTTACTGGAGCTCATAGACATCTACAACGTAAATTCGCCACCCACCTTGAGATATAAGTTCTAAGGTCTCAAGTATAGTTATAACGGCTACCTCACCCTTTAAACCGAAACCCATTACTGCTTCGCGGCAGAAATAGGCAGAGTGGTTGTACCTACCCGTGTGGACTCACAAGAGGTCCTACCACCAGTAATTACGCAAATTGTAATTTTGCGGGTTAAGAAAAATAGTATTATTATTCGCCAATAGATGTCGGGAAGAGTCATAAAGTTGATTATTGATAAAGTTGATTATTGAAAACACGAATAAAACAACATTTTCTGAAAATAAATCGTAGCTAGATCGATTTATCGCCCCCGAAATCCCCTGTATACTAAATTTTATGAAAATCGTTGGAGCCGTTTCCGAGATTCAGATTATATATATATATTAATATACAAGAATTGCTCGTTTAAAGGTATAAGATGAAAAGTAACACGCAACACTGTATTTTCTTAATAAAAATTACATGAGAATTATCGTGTCATGCGGCAACCCTAGCTGGAGAGTCCTCGACAGGTCTCGAGTGAGCACGCGGACATTTTCCGATATTCAGCGGCGAAGTGCGGTGCCACGGCGGCCCGCATAAATACAACCGGCTCGAGAGGTTTAACGGATGACATTTCGGCTTTTATACCCGGGTCGGAGTGCCGACCTCCTGTCACTTGTCACTTCCAATGTTCCGTAATGGTTATGTTAAAAAAAAACCACGAATCTATTTACGTATCTTGTAAGCTGACGAGCACACGGCCCACCTGATGGTGAGTGGTTACCGTCGCCCATGGATTTCAGCAATGTCAGGGACACAACCGAGCCGCTGCCTACCTCTTAATACTCTCCACAAGCCTCGTTTGAAGAAGGACATGTCATAGCGCTCGGGAAACACCGTGGAGAGGAGCTCATTCCATAGCCGGATGGTACGCGGCAAAAAAGACCTCTGATTATATAGGTTTAATACGTTTTTTTATTTATTTCCTGTTTGTGTGTGTGTGTGTGTGTGTGTGTGTGTGTGTGTGTGTGAAATAAGACGAAAATATTAAAATTTCAATTCGACATTCAAGTAAAATTATCTATGAATTTTTTTCTTTAAGGAAATAAAATATATTTAGAGACCTTTTGTATACCCGCGCGATGTTTGAATACACGCAATATTATTTTAAAATAATTGACAACATTACATAAATTGAAACCTGAGTGAGGTATTTTGTCACATAAATGAAGTAAAAATAAATTTCACATCACTTTTAGGATATAAAAAAATACACTTGACCATAGAATGAGTAAATCTAGGAAATGGTAATTTTAATTTATGACATAGTTAATTCTATAACATTTTTTAAACCTAAGCTAATAGCCTTGAGAGGCTATTTCAGCGGAACCTTAACTAATAGCTGAGCTCACGGGGCTCAAACCTGACGACGTTGCTAACACGAACCCTAGCAAAGAGCCGTGCTTCGCAGAATCTACCACCGGATCAGAAACGCGACCCACTGAGAAGATCCGGCGAGAAACTCAGTGGGCTGTGTCTGAGGATTACTGCAACATTAATTTTAAAATACCACATCAACTTCTTCTAATATAGTACTAGTGAGCGCATTTATACCTTTAATATATACATTATTTACAAACATGTGAAAGTACTTTTGAACCGGCTGATGTGAGGGCCCGCGTAACGTTATCCGTGTGTGGACCTGCCGGATATGTTCTATTGTAGCGAGTTTCGCCCACATCCGGTCATAAGTTGCCTGCACGTACCGAACTCATGAGAGCCGCGAAATACTTAAAAGTTGGGTCTTAAAAATATGTAATCGATAACAAAAAACATATTGTGTGCAATTCACACGTGATAGAGGTGAAACTTTCATAAATTTTGTCTTTAAGATAATGAGACGAATGTAAAATTTCGGGAAGAGGATCATTGTAGGTTATAGTAATGATCATAGTGCTACAAAATTTGATAATTATTTTCATAGATTTATTCAGAATCTAATAAGTACGAATATTAGGTACGAATTAGAGCACAAAGAGAACCACGAATATAAGAAACACTATTTAATGTTCCTATCTCATTTTCTCCCACGTTAAACCTTGAATGAATTTATGTGTCTGTCTCTTTTTACTGTCGCTTTTTCGTTTCATCGACTTTAGAATCACAACGATGCTAAAGAAGTTTTCATTTCAGTAAATGTAATGTATGTAATGACTTTTCGTAAATGACCGCGTGGACTTCAGTAGTTGTTCGACTTCAAATAAAAAAAAGAGGAGGTTCTCAATTCAGACTGTGTTTCCGTCAGAAAATTCAATCCTGATGTTTCGATTTTTTTACGTCGCAATGAAACATAGAAGCCATTCCACCTGTTGCTTGCGATATTGTCCATTGTTCAGTAGTTAGTCCCTGCTATTTTCTATATCATTAGGTTATAGAAAACCCTACATTTGAAATAAGTATTACCTTTCATATTTGCCACTGAGTTTCTCGCCGGATCTTCTCAGTGGGTCGCGTTTCCGATGCGGTGGTAGATTCTGCGAAGCACGGCTCTTGCTAGGGTTCGTGTTAGCAGCGTCGTCAGGCTTGAGTCCCGTGAGCTCACCTACTAGCCCGGTGACGCTGATGTGGTCTCTAGACCATCAGCTTAGGCAGGACAAAAAAATTTTTTTTTTCGTTGTGGACGTAATCTTTATTGACTTCTTTTATAATCAATATGCATCTTTGTAATTGAATTTGCAACAATTTAGTACGAGAATAGCCCATTTTTATAGAAGAAACGAAAAAAATTAGTGGTAATTAGAATAAATGTAATGCGATAAATAAACCATTAGAGATAGCGGGTCGCATCGAAATGATCTGTAACGCGATTTGTTTTCATAAATCACCCAGGTCACGATTGGACCGCGGGTCGTAATTATCCCATCCCGGGCCGCACGTAATTATCCCGGTCTGGAGCTCGCCCGTAATTACGCGGGGGCCCGGACAAGCCCCGCGACCGGGGTCTCGGTGGCAACGGGCTGATATAATAGTGGCGTCCATTGCTAAGTGCCCATTTAAAGCCGTCTGTCTGTATTTATTTGTAAGCCTACCGATTCGAAATATTGTAAAATTTATGTTAAACAAAAATATATCTTATGTAAAATTGAAATTGGACAAATATTAGAACGTTTGTAATTCGTTGCGGTTTTTTGTATATTGTATGTATGTATGTATGTATTGCAGTCGGTGTAGAATTATGCGATTTTTTTTGCATATTCTAAGTCTAATTTAATTCTAATCTGTATTGGAATTGTAATTTTAGCTGAAGAAATTTTTGCGATGCTTTTGCAGTGCCATCTAGTGTTCCCTTAATGTAACTTTTGATTTACTCCTGAACTACTTAATCATAGATGGCGTGCTCCACTGTTTGTAGGAAAACCAAGTTAGGTTTGATAACTTTACAAAACTCTCTTTTACACAGAAGCTAACTATATAAGCGAATTATCATTTATTTATTAAATGTTTTGTTGCAGAATGCGCCGAACCAAGAACCCGTGTACCGAAAAGTAGCCATCGTCGAAAATTTCTTCGACATCATCTACACAGTGCACGTAGAACTTGAAGGAAGACCTGGAAAACATGCAGGACAAAAACGAACATATAGAACGGTAGATATATATATTTTTTCAAAATATTCGTTTACAAAAAAATTGTTTTCGGAGAAAATTATTTAATTTATATACATCTTAATTAATACAGTCACAATAAGAAATGTATAGTGTAATGTACTAATACAGTATTTTAAATACAAAAAAAACATTTGGCCTCAAAGGTTCAAGTCGAAAGGCAGACTTTGACCCTTACCTAAAATTTTTCATGACTAATTAACATAAAAAGCGCCATCTATTTTTGTCAAGTATAAACGTAGGTTGCTGCGGAGCGAGAATGTATATTGTTACTACAAGCCTCCCATAGATGGCGCTATACAGAAAATAACGCATAATGGTTGATAGATGTCGCTAACGCGAAATAGAACCATCATGTATCGAGACATTTTGTTTGATTTTATAATACTTTTAGATTACAGGCGTTTGAGCTTGGCCCCGTCTGATGGTAAAAGGGACCCATAAATAATGATATACTTATCAAAATAATATTAGTGACAGCTCGAGTGCACTTCGAGAGACCTTGGTTTTATTTTTGGTAAAATTTTAATATTGGATTTAGTAAAGTAATTGTTGTGGGCAAATATATAAAGTACAATTTAAAAAAATCCGGTTAGTAAAACCCAGTACCTAAAGTCATTAATGTAGAACGAGAAAGATTATTATTAACACTATTCGTTAAATTTAACAGCGTTTTTCCAATAAAAAATAAAAAAGAAGAAGATGATAATTGCGTTTTTCTTATTTTTTCTCATACAAATGTCCCCCGCTGGTTTACCCGTATTAAACTTGTAATTCAGAAAGACTGAATCGCGTCGGATTACCCCTGGATAAAGATTTAGTTACTTGTGTCTTTATTTACAAACAATCAGTCGATTTATTATCCAGGGGCGAACTATCATATTTATGATTGCAGACACCAGCGGCGTTGGCCGGGTTAAGTCATTTGCTATGATATAAAATATCAAGGTTATAAACTGTCTTTGTGCGAAATTCTACTCAGATCCATCAAGTAACAAACATTCAGACACGCAAACCTTCATACCAGTGATCCGAAACAGTTCCGTTAAAATAATCCTTGTAAATAAATAATCTAAACGGAGATCTCTCGAGGTGTGACCTAAATTATGGTTCGAGCAAATTGTTTACGCATTTCCCTGAACGCGGATGTTTTCGTTTCCAGATTACGGAGACGTACGCCTTTCTGCCGCGGGAGGCCGTCACGCGCTTCCTCACCGGATGTGCCGAGTGCGCCAGGCGCCCGCGCAGCGCCTCGCCCCCACCGCTGCCCACGCCTTCCCCATCCCCCACAAGACACCCCACTTACCTCCCGTATCACCCCCACTGCCCACCTGACTACTCTCGCAACTGGGAGTCGGAAATCGACGCGGCCCATTCAAATTATTACGAACCTAAATTCGAGTATACCGAATTGCAGCCGGTCAAGAAAGTCGAGAGTCCCAAGCCCGCAGAGGTTGAAGAGGAACCGACGTACATAGAACTAACCACGAAGAAAGTAGATTTCGATCAAAACCAGCCCTACAGCAGGAGTTCTCCTGTTGAACCGGCGATAGAACAAGACGAACCAATCAGAACTGACCCCGAAATAGACAAGGACGACAACAGCCTGATAGACGTCGAAGAAGTCAAACCTAATGACAGTCCGCTTCTGCATAAAGAAGAGAATACGAAAGAGTCAGAAGGAGAGAACACGAGTGCTTCTGAAACGCCAAGCGCTAGTGAAAAGACTGAGAAGAAAAAATACAATCCGCTGGACGTTGCGAACTTGACGTCAAAAGATCCTCCTAAATGCAGGTCTCCGAGTAAATTTACGGGAGCGACTTTAGAATATCCCGTTAGCTTCGGGAGGTTTGCCAGGCAGTGGAGGCCAGACGGCGCGATGTACTATGGGGGCGAGGACGTAGAATACGGCGCGCCTATTACGACGAACTATTTAAAGCAATCCAAGAATTCGTCTCAACAGAACGGCAGCGACTTGGAAAAGGTAAGTCTTTCAAATTACGTTGATATTTCTATTTTAATATTGTGCTTATAACCAATACCGTCTTTACCATAAGGGCACACGGGGCCCGTGCCCAGGGCCTCCATTCTCAGGGGGGGCCGAAAGACCGACAATTTCTCTCACACGTTTATTCTCAAAACATTTTTGTCGGGCACATTACACTTTTTTCACAAATCAGTAATCAGAAGGTATTTACAAGGCTTATACTATGACTATGATAGAAGATTTTGCTCAACAGAAATCCCGAAAGAAACCGTTATCGAAATCGTAACCAAAAAACCAGCAGCATTCTAATATAATTAATGACATATTATATCATACTGTATTTGATTACCTATAATAAATAGTCTCAAACTCAGTAAAAAAATGTTATTATAATTCGCTTTTTTTTACTTTCCAAAAGGGCCTCAAATTCTTGGGTGCCCAAGGGCCCCATCCTAGTTTAAGACGTCCCCTGCTTATAACTTATCGGGGTGTGACTACTATTTGATTATTGAGACCTCTAAATAGACATTAGCGGTTATGAGTTTCAAACGAGCAACTCTACGCGGTCCCGGAACGATAACAATCAAACCGCACACGGGAAAGTAAATTTTTGGTCCGAACATAACATTGTACAAACATATGATTTTGCGGGTCCGCTTAACCCTAAACTTGTGAGTTGCAAAGGCCGACCGTCTAACCGGCCCGCAGGACCGCCTTTGTGTGGGCCACAACCCTTGTTATGATTCCGGGGTATTTCGTGTAAACATAAAAATTAAAATAAGTCAAAATTTCCTCTCAGCTATAGCAGACAAAAAGATCGGGTTAAGAGAGAAAAGTATGATTGTATAGAAATTCATTGGGTCGACTTTTATATTTGAATATATAATGAAAACATGATGAACGCGCTTTTGTTAGCTTCGTATATAAACTTAATATGGTAAATTAGCTGGTGGTAGGACCTCTTGTGAGTCCGCACGGGTATGTACCACCACCCCGCCTATTTCTGCCGTGAATCAGTAATGCGTTTCGGTTTGAAAAGTGGGGCAGCCGTTGTAACTATACTGAGATCTTAGAACTTATATCTCAAGGTGGGTGGCGTATTTACGTTGTAGATGTCTATGGGCTCCGGTAACCACTTAACACCAGGTGGGCTATGACCTCGTCCACACAAGCAATAAATAAATAAAAAACATTACTGCTTCGCTGCACACTAAGGCATGGTTGTGACAACCGCCAGTGCGGGCTAATAAGACGCCTACGAATGATTATAATTTTGCGAGTTTAATTATACACGAAGTCATTCCTTCAACATGAAAGTCTTATATCATTAAAGTTATTCATTATCAATTTAGCGGAACACAAAATAATAATGGCACGACAAAATCGTATAAGTTAAAAATCAATGTTTCTTCTTGACACCATATTAAGAAAATGAACGGTATGTATTTAGGTTGGGGACAAAGTCTTTTCGCATTATATAGTATGTATGAACTTGTAATAAAATCTCTTTGGCTATACTATTTGTATCTGGCTGGTTTTGTTATCATTAAAAGTTTAAATTTTGAAGAAGATAATTCTGAATTCAAATTAGGAAAATGTATGATTTTTATTTATTTTTCGTACCGTCAAGATGAGTGAATCTAATGAAGAAATTCGATACATTTTATTTTCAGAAGCCCCTAAATTTCTATAGCAATGGGATTATGTCCCTACCTACAAGATGGCAAAAAGTTATCGAACAAAATGGTACCTACATACTTTAGTTAAATGTAAATAAACTATATTGAAAAATGTTATGAAATTTCTTAAAAAATGCGAAGAAACATTTTCCTCGACCTATTATTTGAAGAAATCTTGTATTTGGAAAATTCACTTAAACGTGGCTTTAAAAAGCGCGTAGCCTACTGACTTCTGTTGTACTTAAGAGCTTACTTTTAAATATCTGGAAACTGGATAGGTTTCGTGAAATAGAATCTCAGTATGAGATTTGGGCACACTATCCTAAAGCACAGGGTCAGAGACGACGAAACCAGAGCAATAAAAAAATTGGTACTTAAATATATCCAAAAATAAAACATGTTTATTCTCACTATATTATTCATACTATCGGCAATCAAGAACTTATCTTGAGACGAATTAGAATACTTAAATTACTTAATGTAATTAATTTATTTTAAACTGTTAAAGAACTTGCAAAGTTAAGAATATTTCAAAATAATTAATGTATAGTTCCGTCTCTGAATAAGATTGTTAAATATTATAATAATATTCGAATTAAGTAGGTAAAGTATTATTTACATCCGCAAATCGGTAAAAATCATTATGCTATTAAAATAGGTAGTTTCTCAATGATTTTTTTTATTATATAACTAGCTGACCCGGCAGACTTCGTATAGTGCCTCAATCGATAAATAAAAGACTTAAACTCTTCTATAAAATAAACTTAAAACAAACAAAAGGAATCCGTCCGAGGGAGGGGGGGGACATCATAGGAAAAACAAAATTGTTATTTTTATTTAATTGCAAGTATTTTCATATTTATCTACCTTTTACCTTCTCTGGACTTCCAAGAATAATTCAAGATCAAATTTGCCAAATCGGTCCAGTCATTCTCGAGTTTTAGCGAGACTAACGAACAGCAATTCATTTTTATATATATAGATAGAAGAATGGACTTATTGCGAATGCCGCTACCCACATTGAAAATTGTGGCCGAAATCTCAGTGGTCTACCCTTGAAGCCGGAATGCATGATTGCTTCGATCGAGGAATAGGCGTGACAGTGATATCTACATACACACAATTTTGTCCTAAAACCGATAATCACAAACAAGACTAGTAATATGTTTGTTATAATCGATAAAGGAAATAATTTTAATACCGAAGATAAGCATTTTACTGTCAGCGTAGTCACATGCATGCCTTTGGAAGTGCTTAAATAGGTTATGGAGTACATACACAGATTAGTATAGATATAGACTATACTAATCTATATAATCTATACTAATATATAAATCTACCGTGATTTTTACGGATGTTCCGTTATAGCTACTGAACCATGCATCCGATTGTCTTGAAACTTGGTATCCATGTAGAAATACATGTACTTNCGAAGAAGAGGGCGCCGGTCGGGATTTGTTTACGCCTATTTAGTCCTATCAGGATGTGCTCCGTGAGGCGGTGCACTTGTTGTACGCACGAGTGTTTAGAGCGGAATCCGAACTGTTCGTCTATGAGAATTTTGTTCGCGGTAACAAAATCCCAGAGGCGTTTCCTAAGGAGCCGTTCGTAAATTTTTCCTATCGTCGGAAGGAGACTAATCGGACGGTAACTAGATGTTTCGTTTGTCGGTTTACCCGGCTTATGTATACCGATAACGTCCGCTTCTTTCCAAACCGCGGGAAAGATGCAGTGCGTCATAGCGGCATTTAAAATTGTAGCCAACATTGCTATCAGTTGGACTGGCAAGAGTTTTAGCGCGCGGTTGCGAATGCCGTCGGAGCCGGATGCAGAAGATAATTCCAAATTCAAATTAGAAATATGTATGATTTTTATTTATTTTTCAACAAGATGGCAAAAAGTTATCGAACAAAATGGTACCTACATACTTTAGTTAAATGTAAATAAACTATATTAAAAAATGTTATGAATTTTCTTAAAAAATGCGAAGAAACTTTTTCCCCAACCTATTATTTCAAGAAATCTTGTATTTGGAAAATTCACTTAAACGTGGCTTTAAAAAGCGCGTAGCTTACTGACCTCTGTTGTACTTAAGAGGTTATACTTAAGAGCTTACTTTTAAATATCTGGAAACTGGTTTCGTGAAATAGAATCTCAGTACGAGATTTGGGCATACTCTCCTAAAGCACAGGGTCAGAGACGACGAAATCAGAGCAATAAAAAAATTGGTACTCAAATATATCCAAAAATAAAACATGTTAGTTCTTACTATATTATTCATACTATTGGCGATCAAGAACTTATCTTGAGACGAATTAGAATACTTAAATTACTTAAATACATGTTATTCTAAACTGTTAAAGAACTTGCAAAGTTAAGAATATTTCAAAATAATTAATGTATAGTTCCGTCTCTGAATAAGATTGTTAAATATTATAATAATATTCGAATTAAGTAGGTAAAGTATTATTTACATCCGCAAATCGGTAAAGATCATTATGCTATTAAAATAGGTAGTTTCTCAATGTTTTTTTTTATTATATAACTAGCTGACGCGGCAGACTTCGTATAGTGCCTCAATCGATAAATAAAAGACTTAAACTCTTCTATAAAATAAACTTAAAACAAACAAAAGGAATCCCTCAGACGGGGGGGACACCATAGGAAAAACAAAATTGTTATTTTTATTTAATTCCAAGTATTTTCATATTTATCTACCTTTTACCTTCTCTGGACTTCCACAAATAATTCAAGACCAAAATTAGCCAAATCGGTCCAGTCGTTCTCGAGTTTTAGCGAGACTAACGAACAGCAATTCATTTTTATATATATAGATAGAAGAATGGACTTATTGCGAATGCCGCTACCCACATTGAAAATTGTGGCCGAAATCTCAGTGGTCTACCCTTGAAGCCGGAATGCATGATTGCTTCGATCACGGAATAGGCGTGACAGTGATATCTACATACACACAATTTTGCCCTAAAACCGATAATCACACACAAGACTAGTAATATGTTTGTGATTATCTATATCTATATCTATACTAATATTATAAAGAGGAAAGATTTGTTTGTTTGTTTGTTTCGAATAGGCTCCGAAACTACTGGACCGATTTGAAAAATTCTTTTTCCATTAGAAGCCGACATTGTCCCTGATGAACATAGGCTACTTTTTAAAAAAAAAAAAAAAATATTTTTTTGGATTCATGTGTGTTTTAATGTTTCCGAAGCGAAGCGAGGGCGGGTCGCTAGTAATCGATAAAGAAAATAATTTGAATACCGAAAATAAGTATTTTACTGTCAGCGTAGTCACATG